GGGATATACGCAATCAATAATGGAAATCAGATCATGTTAGCCTTTGCGACCAAATACGAGAAGTGTTCGATACGATTTACTTGGCAATAGAATGTATCTGTTAGCAGGAAAACTTTTAAGCTGCTTATTTAAAAAAGAATCATATACAGATCGTACGTTATTATTATTTATGTTATTTAGGCACAATAAATATTATGGTAGGTATGTCATTAACAAGGCTTATAACTAGTTTGAGATACTTAGCTATGATTCCAAGAGGTAGTATTGATGATTTTGTCTGCGCGTGCCATTTCAAGGGTTATCTGTTGTACGTATTAGTTACTTGTGTGGCCGAAGAATACGCTCGCAGTACGAAAAACCCGCAAATTCCTCATAATTTAAAAGAGAATTTTATCAAGATTCAATCTTGTGGCTATTTTAGTTATGAAAATAAATACACCCAGATATAATCTATAATAAAGATGCCAAATTCATAGCTAGACAGGATACAAACCGGCAATAGTAATCCCGATCGCATTTGACGAAAAACCAGTTTTGGGGAAGTAAAAAATATTATCATTTCTAGTTGCGGCTAGTATCCGACTTAAGTTACAGCGCCGAATGCTCGCAACGACAAAATTTGCCACGGTGTCCTTTTAGAGCGCTTACAAGTATATATGGAAATAAATTGCAGCGTTCGTTGTTGACTGCGGGCAACGACTGCGGTTTTATGCGGACTGCTAGTCATTGTGATAAGTTGATATAATTTTTGATAATAATAACACCAACGAGAGGGGGATACGAGGCGGTACTTAGCGGCCTCCATCAGCCCAGCGGTGCCAATGTTGCCGGACACGATACGACCGTGAAACAGTACCGCATTGCCCGACGCAGACCGCTCCATAAGGGCATGCAACGTGCTATTTTTTAGCGGACGCTATACGTGGGTCAAGCACTCGTACTTCCCTGACATCTTCGCAATGTTCTCACTTGATTGGCTTCTATACGTGCTTCCTAGACTCTACTGCCGTCATCTGGTCACAGCTTCAATACAGAGCAGCATTTGTTGCTGACAATAGACAATAAGGCCACTACTTAAAATGGGCTCGGCACTAGGTCGGTTTTCAGCGTTCCGAGAGATGATCAGAACAGCTACGGTTTCGCTCAAATACATAGATTTAACACTAGGACTGCAGAGATGTCTCGGACCGCGATTCACATAGTTCCCATGTGGACGTTAGCATAAGTGATGATGACTGATGATCTACCGAACATCTGTAACCTCGAGCAGAAAACATGAGCTTATGCTAGTAGCTTAAATTAAATGATTCAATCTAATAAAATTAAAATTGCAGCAGAAACGTCAAACATGTCGAAGCTTTTATTTCTAAAAGAACTTCTATATATTGTGTGTGGTTTTCCGGTAGCTTCTTTCCTACCAACCATACTCTATCTAAGGACTCTCTTAAACTGCTGCATGATTTCCATTTGATCTAATGCACTTATGCTTGATACTTTACGAGCCAACGCGATAAATGATCCTCACGACCACACCGTCCGCACTTAACCGCTCTCCTGCTGGACGGAGAGCCGTCCACCCTGTTACGTGATAATAATGAATTCATAAATGAATAATGGACTGATAGGATCGCCTGCTATCCAAACCGGTTGCTAGAAGCTAGATAAGGCGAGGCCATACGTTTACTTGACCGCTAGAAGTGCATAGCCGCATACTGCTGTTCTCTTATCATACCCTATAATATCAATAATACTACTTACTGCCTTTTCAGTGCCAGGCGACAATGCTCCTTTTACCCTTATAATCCTATACAGTCTTGGAGCTTTTTTCGGAATTCTGAATAGTCCGATAGAACGATCAGTGCAATCCTAAATATTTTACTAATCGACCAGTAGTTAGTACTTCACCGACTAAGCTACGACTACGATTGGAATATCGTACGATTAAACTGTAGTGCGGTTCTGTCCGCACTAGACCATCTGCGCCGTCCTTGCGGTGCGCGGACGGCGCCGACGATTCGGTCGTAAAGACAACAGGCCGGTGCTGACGGAAACCGAGCTACAGCCGGTTAGGCAGATTTACCAAAATATCGACAAGCTTGTGCTGCCTGAACACGCAAACTCAATTCAGATAACGGTAACAAGATAAAAACGGGCAGACTACATGAATGTGCAGTATATATGTGGGTCGATACATGTGTGCATTCCGAGTACATATCGGGGTTCGGGGCAGTCGGCTTCAGCAACACCTTCTCGTTTCTCCCCTATCGTTGAGTGGCGGCGCATCGGAACTATGGGCAGACTTAATTAAATAACAATTAATAATGTATCTTCACACTGCACATTCACCTCTGCCCATATTCTTATCCGTACTAAGGGTGCACATTGGTTAGCGTAGAGTAATGAAGCTGACAGAGAGGACTGAGTGACATCAAGGGATCGATCGTAATAGTCACAAGAGTGGGCATCGCTGGCGGATACCCACAGTCAACGCTGCACTATCTATCTATCTGTCTGTCTGTCCATCAATCAATCTTGAATCTATCAATTGATATATATATATATATATGCGCCGCATCTGATCGAGGCATTGTATCAAGCATCCCTAAATGTGGCAATGTTTATTTTTAAGGACAGAACGGTGTCGTTGTTACGAAGAAAACAGGGAGCCATTAGACAGTATATTAAAATATAGATTAAAAAGCTGTTGCTTACCTCACTGTGTCTACGATTTCAATCGATGTAAATTGAAATACGATCTTGTTATTTTAGTAGTATATTACGTAGATGTAGTAACATTCGAAATCGGGTGAAGAAGAAGAAGAAGATATTCCTATTGGCGATACTAGACGTGGAATAGTATCTAGTTGTCGTCAATGAATACCTGTTGTTACGTCAACGATTTCTTAGAAGATATCGACGGCTTTAAATATTGGAGCGTATGTATGTACAGAATGATTACTTATCCTCCTTTGTTTGATTATTCTTCCTTTCTTCATATCGATACATAGTCAGAAAGATCTTTTGTTTGTGAGGTCACGAATTAGAAAATTGCCTTATACCATCTCCAAGGTTTCCTTACTCGGTATATTTTCGGCTAAATTTAGTGCCATATACTTATGCCATGCTCATTAATGATCAAAATGATAAACAAAGTTAAAATGGATATTGTGTTTGACCCAATTAAATGTGGTCATTTATCTCATCTGCGTCACTATGGCCTTTATCGTTAAGCATACGAAAAAGAATTGAATGCGCTTATAGCGAACGTCCAGTCGCAGGTACACCCTTCGGGAAAATGATGATCAAATAGGAACCAAAACAAATTAACTCAACCTTTTAACTGCCCTATTTTATTTAGCATTCCTTAATATTTAGAGGCCTGCCAAACGAAAAGAGGCTTGAACCCATGAAGTTAAAGGAATCGGTATTCGCGAGTAATCCCCGTTTCAAATATTTCTATGCTACGCTATATAAATATGTAGCTGTCGAAACAACGTGCTGGTTTGACTATAGCTAAAAGCTACGTCTATCCTAGATGTCTAACCTCAATTTTTCAAGGAATACCTGAGATGAGCTTAAAAAGCGGACCGTGCATAACCGATACCGTGTTCTCTCTGACAACATGCGTTCAGCCCAGGCAATATTGAACACAAATGAAGCATCATGGCGCGGTGAACGTCTTCGATGGTGTCAGTAGTTGTTTAAATCCAACGCTGAACTTGAGGCCTTGTCCCATCGGACTAGAGCAAACATAATAATAACTTAATTTTATAGCAGTGCTAAACACCAAATGGCACTTGCCATACGCTCGTAATCACGTTCCCCCGTAGCACCCCAACCCTACAACCAGCAATACATGAATGCATACCTTTTTTACACTTTTTATTGCCACGGGTTACTTTAGGAGCCCCGTTACCAATGTAATTCAGTTCAATTTTCAGTTGACCGAGTGATTGAAATCAATATCGTCCGCGTGCGTAAAATTGTCTCTTCCTACTTATCTTCAATTGAACGAAACTTGTTTGTCATCGTACAAAGAGTAATGCAATTAATTCCGAAGTAATGATATTAAGGGATCATTTGGATTTCCGTTCCTGGAGGGCTGTATAGTTCGCAAAAATGATCACCGAAATGTTTATAATTTGGCTTGAAATTCCATTGGATTATTTTCATAGCGGTTTGGCTTTAGTGATTATTATCTAGGCTCAAATATAGCGTTTCTTATTTCTTGTGTTGGCGAAAACAGTTTCCCTGTCGAGCTCATACTACAATTTATACGTAAATTGTACAATACAAAAACCTTTTCTTGTCAGTTATATGCTGTTTTTTCTTTTTTTCTATTTTTTTTTTTTTTTTTTTTAACAAAACACCGATCAAACGAAGTTGATGAGCTAGACATTAGTCAATGGTGATCTATTTCGAATACATCCTATTGTCGGAAAATTTTGCATCTAGCTTCGATCAAGCCAGTTTTCTATATTTCTACAAAATTAAAAAAATATATAACAGGTGACTAGTGATGATTTACTGAAGTCTTCATGCGTCAATATTATGGTTGCAGAGCGTCCGCTTAATTTTTTTATAATACACACCTCCTTTCGAGTTCTGATTGACGTGACAACGTTCTTCCTGCAAAACGTTTTCCGTGGCGTACTTTTCAGTGGGATCTTTTACGAATTTGTTGTACCGCATTTTCCCCAACTATCCCACAACGCACCATTTAAGCGGTTAAATTTCACTTATAAAAACGATTACGATATATGTGTTTTATAGTGAAAAGAGGAGAGAAAGTATTGCTACAATTTGCAAAAGCTTTTTTGTAATTGACCGCGATGCACCAATCCCGCCGTCGCAAATTCAAAAATTCAGATACGTTCCTGTACATCTTGCGGCATTGTTGGTTTCCTTAATCGTCGGAAGCCCTGTTTACCTTTATGCGACGGAACAGATAACACAAGTGGTCTTCTTTGTATGGAGAATTGAAGGAGAAGAGAGGGATAGTCAGTGAAGTCTATGAGTGTCTGAGTATCGCTCTGAGCGTGTGTGTGTGTGAGGGTGAGTGAGCGTTGTGCACTGCTTCAAACGACGACAGGCGAAACAAACATCAGGCCCTGGGATTCGTTCGAGATCGTAGAGAGTACGTCGTCTTTTATGTATTTTGTGGGAAGATGTAATTTGTGCACTAGTGTGTAGCTGAAAAATCCCCACATTGGATTTGATATGATGAAGAGCGTGAAGACTATGAATAACTAAGCGACCCCGGAGCCGCTGGGTTGGACGAAGAGTGGAGTGACGGTGCAATCGGTCGGACCACGAGAGGTCGTCGCTGGATTGTGACCAAGGATCTTCGTTTTAGGTATTCTTTTTCATTATTACTCTCTAATTCGTTATGTAATGGTGCTCCACTCGTCAGAAGTCTTATCTCGAACTAAACAGAGACAGAGAAGGAAGCCAGAGTACGCAGACTATCCGAGACTAAGGTCGCTCACCTTCTCAAAGCTCTGTGTGGACCGATCACACCGTTATTGGGCTGGCAAGTAGGATGTATATAGGTGCCTGTTATTATGGCTTTTTCACACCCGTCTTGCAATTATAGATTACATCATATTGTTTTTCGCAAGAAACGGTTGGGCGGTCTCGACGATCGTTCCTATTTTACCAGACGTTCTGAATAGTTTGAAGACGTATGCAACTAGTGTAGAATTGTGGACGTATTTACCCCCTCCACTTAGTATAGAGTCTATTGATGTAATTCTTTCTTTTCAGCTTCACTGTTTTGCCCCTTACCGCACAATGATGATAATCATCATGATTTACTCGCTGTGGACTTATCCTTTAATACAGGTTCAGTGCTGGTCGCAATAACGTTAGTAGCAGTAGTAGGAAATATGGAAAGATTGCCAAGTCGTGCTACCGTTATGGCTGATAAAAAAGCGTATAAGGTTTTGCCTCTCTTTCCATTGGCGATGGCTGGCCAGCTAGCCCAGACGTCGGTCCTCTCTATAATGAGTACCATAGATCAATATAGATACAGAGCTGGTCAGAGTTTGAAGTGCTTGGCTAGTACTATCATTACCTGCCCGGTGGCAGCGATTATTATGGAAGTAGCAAACTATATTTCTCCGTCAAAGAAGCCGCAGACGGTATTCAATATTCTTCACACTGTACTTGTACGCACCGTTCTGACCCGCTCTATTATGAAGAAAAAACAAAAACATAGGATATAGCAGCACAAACAGCAACGAGTGATCTCTAGTCGTATAGCCGCTTAACAGCGAGTAGAGAATACTTGACGTGCGTGTAATGAACAACGTTCTTTTGTATCGTTTCTAGTATACTTTCACATTGGACAAAAATCGCCGGTTCCAAGAAGCTTCGGGGAAGGTTGAAAGCTTGCTTCTTCTACGTCACTTACACGCGCTAGACTTCTCCTACTTATCCCGCTCGGTGTTTCCCTGTTCTAGCAAGTTCTATCATGCAGTTATATCCGTTAGCTCTCAAAAGTAATCAAAGCCATTAAAGAGCATGAGTATATATATATACACCCGTATATATATATGTGTATATTGTTACAAGCGAATACGGTGGGCTATAAAGTTGAATGGCTTCTAAATCAGTAGGGCTGGGGTTATGCTTTTTTAACATATGATACTCTTCATTATTTAGTGTACTTGCACCAGCGCTCTGACCGCTTCTGAACAGCCGTATACCTATCGTTCGTGTACCCGTGTATATTTTCCCTATCTGTGGCCTTTCAAATTCAATCGATAGTATATGTTTATTCACCGGTTGCCCCTTTCAGGGCATGAAAGACCCCGTTATTATGACTTAGACGTTAGGTATTCCTTCGCTCAATCAGTGAATTAATTGCGGCATGGCTGTTCGGTTTGGCGTTGTCATCAACTAACGTGCCAACGGCCCGTGAGTCTTTTCAGGAACTCGAAATAGCGGGCTACGTCCATTATATATTTTTGGCGAGTATCGCATAATAGCAAATGTCCATTGCAAGTACTACCATAATCTTGCGTTTCGAATCTGCTCAACACTACCATCGATTTCTATTTCTTTCTAAAACGAAGCAATTTCGTCGTCTGATACCTTTCCGCCTGGTGGTAGAGGTAAAACGATGGCTCGTCTATGGCGGATTCCCTGTTGATTGAAGTTACGCAAACTTCACACGCACTATCAATTGGCCTGAAATCAATTTACTCCTTCAGTTTTCTTACTCAGCTTGCATATATCCTCTGTTTGGTTCGTAGAACTTAACCGACGAAGCCTTTAGACTCAAAGTTTTGCTTCCGTAAAGAGCCTCTTCGATTGCGATAGTGCGTTCGTGCTCTTTGGATCTCGACATTTGGGCGCCTCCTCGCTTGATTTCAACGTTCTAGTCTCTGTTCCGGAAACGTTTGCACGTGTTGTGCCTTCCCTTAAGGCGTCCTTGCCCAATGTCTTCACCGCTCCGCGATGAGTTTATATAATCTTTACGTTACTTTCTCTAACCACTGCTATTAAATGTTCAAAATAGGAATAAAACATCTGCTATACAATCCTTCTCTTTTTAGCTCTGACCATGCTAAAAAATATGATTCACTGCGAGTAGTAGACATGAGCAACCCACAATTCGCTGGCTGGGTCGCCGCCGCTCTGTGGATAACAAGAAACCGACCAGGAAGTTAGCTCGTTGACTCGTTTGATTCGCGACTCGTTCAGGTTCAACGTTACAATCTGGCAGGCTCGATATATTCTTTACCGGCAGACCTGGCGAACTCTCAGAGCGCTCTCTGTTTATATATTTGAACTATTTTTTTTTCTATCGTTGCCGTCATTATCTGTGACAATCATTGCTTCTCTAGCTACGAACTGTGGCAAAACTGCCGCCTGTAGCAAAACACCGCATCGCTCATTTGGGTGCCGCCATTATCATACTACTACAACACGTATGCAACAAGCAAGCCAGCGGGAGCAGGCAGAAACCACCGAAGAAGAGCAGTGAGATAGTCGAACTGGCAAACGCCGTTCATACAACTATTCCCTCGAACTGCCAATCGGTTAACGCTTTCCAGCATGTCGCCTCGCCGATAATAATCAACCGTAATAAAAACACACTCATGCAATACGAACCAGATTGTACTGTATTCCTTATATAGCACTTTATGCTGATTTTATAACAATTTCGGCAGCATCTTTAGTCAGAATCGTTGCATGGTAAGTGCCTGTTCATCTTTGTGTCTCCTTCTTTTCGCACTGTTTCAGAGATAGTCGCTTTCTTATTATTTGTAATGTAGATGTACCCGTTTGATTGTTCGCGGGCAGCACCATCTTCTCGAAAAGCTTTTCGTAACGTAATAATAATTATTTATTATTGCATGGCAAGAAATAGTCAAGCTTTCCGTTATGCAATAAACAGTGCGTATGGATTTGTTCGAATCGGTCTATTTCCTCCGTCTGTTCGCAATGTCTTGCCACATTTGTATCCCGTTGAAGCAGCGTGAGCGTCAGTATGCATGATGCTGCAGACTTTCAAATTGGGTTTAAGGAGCACCTATGTATTGTACATGTGTTATAGAGTTAGTTTGTGCCGTAAGTTAAAACTGCCGATAGACGGCTTTTGCAGTCGTACAATAATCTATGTACTAGATTTGCGTGTAGGACATTCGCAACGCATTACGAACAATAGCAGCTATTTCCATTGTTATCTCTTCTATAATCCTGCTCAGTCGGACGTCATTACCTGCGGCAGTGCTTCATTCGTTATTCCTGACGTCTGATGGGAGTGAAGATCTTCAAGGTTACAATAGAAGTCTGCTACCGCTGTCTAAAAGATAGCCTGTACAAGCGCTTATTGCTATGCTTTGTTTTTGAACACTATTAAAAAAGTGCAGTGGAACAATAATTTCCGAAAAAAAAGCATTAGTGTAATGCTTTTTTTTTCGGAAATTATTCTATTATTAATACTACATTTATAGTATATAAATGTAATATTCTTAACACGGTTGTAATATTGGCTGTAAAACTAATATTTTAGATTAACCATCCATCATGGACCGCATTTAATTTAGTACAAGCCTATCTATAATAACTTCTGATACAAGTTTGTTTGATTTCTCTGTTTCAGATGGCACAACATCCATGAGTAGGAGTTTGTCGAAACGAAGGGTGGCAATAATGCTGTGGCTTGAGATCCGAGTCCTGTTCTCGTGGAAGTTATCGTCGTGCGTGTTGTGTCCTCTTTCTTCTTTATCATTATCGGCGTATGCGACAGCCATCCGCAAATTTGCCTCAACTCCTGTCGAAAGCGCAGTTGCCGCTGTCGTCACCGCTGCTGCTTAGCGTTGTTCAATGGAGTGTGCGCAATGGAAGTGCGCTCGGGGCGGTGTATTGTCTCGAAGGCTGCTCGCCCTTTTCCCGTTCGCGCTCGGCTTGTGATGCGTTTCACGTTCGTTGGTGAACTCTACGCCCGCGGCTGCATCGGCTGCAGCAGGTGTTGTCGTCGCAGCAACGCCAACAGGTACAACTACCTGGACGCTGTACCTGGTGCTTGGTGTCCCTGGGATGGCAGTACAGTTGCCGGCTGCTTCCTGGAACCAGCTATGGCAACTGGCTATGGCGGTTCTAGGGGCGCTAGCGTTTTTTGGCTCCTCAACGAGTCCGGGCAGCTGGGCAGACGCTGCGTCGAGGCCGAACACGTGCAATCGCGACAGAAAGCTACTAACCGATCCTTACGGCCGAATTACGGACGGGCCTGGGAAATACCACAACAATAGTCACTGCGAATGGCTTATTAAAGGTGACTAATTGATCATAACGCAAAATATATACACACCAATTGGCAGTACATATTCTCCTCTCCAAAATGGTCATCATTCTGTATAAGAATCCAGGTGTATTAAAAATGGCTTCTCCAGCCATTTGGTAAATTTTCTAAATATAAAGCTTATTGAGATGTATCTGGTGTGTCTCATAAAGATCTATCAGATTTTTCAGAAGCTGCATGAAAATTGGCAGTAACCTGGGCTATTAATTTCGTACGAATAATAAGTTTCTAATTTTCGAGAAGATTTGCCCAGTGCAAAGAGATCAGATAATAAATAATCTTTATTTAAATTGCGAAAGTAGTGCGCTGTTTTAGCAATTATACGCTTCTTATTTTGTTCTAGAGAAAACTGACCTTTGCCTGGTGTGAAGGATACTGAATGAACACATGCTTGCGACGATTAATAGCCTGCTAAGGTTTTATTAGATTTGGCCGAACCACATAGATACAGTATGTATCATGCTTGAATACCTAAACAATCGTTTTGAAACAAATTTCAGGTCAATCTAGGAATTTTACCTCACGATAGCCGTAATTCACCATGCATAGAAATTCCTTTTTATTTTAGTAGAATTGGTTCTCTTTTGTCTAATAATTTTACTTTAAACATCAGTGACGGCTTATTCATGTTATTGTTTTTTTGCGATCTTTCTTGCAGCTCCACCTAGTAACCCAAGTCTGTACATTACATTAACTATAACTTCCTTACATACTGAGTGTGCTTTCGATCATCTATTTATCTACGATGGAGACTCGTATTCAGCTCCACTATTGGCCTCTCTGTCTGGCCGCAACGATCATCCACCGCATTTCACGGCGAGCTCAGGCGCAATGCTTATCCTCTTCTATTCGGATACCAATTACGTACTCGAAGGCTTTTCCGCTAACTATTCAATGGATGAATGCCCTAAAAACTGTACAAATCGAGGCGGCTGCGTCGCCGGCCAGTGTCTATGTAACACCGGCTTCGCCGGCGACGCCTGTCAGTTTGAGAATTGTCCGAAAAATTGCAGCTCGACAATCGGTCACCCGCAGGGAAAATGCAGCGGACCAGATGGCTGTGTGTGCCTGCCAGGTTTCTCAGGCCAGAGTTGCAGTTTGCCGTCGGCCAGTGATCCACAACTTGTCGGTTGGCATTTGTTAGCTACTGGTCGGGATGGCCGTGGCGATCTGTTCCACCCTCGATCGGGCCATGCCGCCGCTTACCTACCTTTCACCGATCAGCTTTACACGTTTGGCGGGCGCAACTTCAGTCACGTGTTCGACGAACTGCTCGTATACGACTTTACGGCATCCAGATGGACCCGGGCGGGTCTCGAAAGCAAAATCATACCTGCCGCACGGTGGGGTCATGCTATGGCGCATCACGCCGACACAATCGTGATGTTTGGAGGAGAATTAGTTACCGGAGATTTAAGCAACGAATTTTGGGTGTACAATGTGCAAAAGCAGGAGTGGACTCTTGAAGAAGCTGACCCATCTGGAGTGGATGCACCTCGCGTGGCATTCCATTCCTTGACGATGATCGAACAAAAGACGTTTGTTGTTTTCGGGGGCCGTATTGAGGGTGGTCGTTTTTCAAATCGAATCTACAAAATGAACTTACTTGGATGGAAGCCAAAGTGGGAACTAGTTAAACCATCGGCGGGTAGTCCAATTCGAGTTGTAGGTCACACGGCGACATTCCATGCAGAGTCAAAAAGCATTCTTGTATACGGTGGAGTAGTCGCCGATATGGCTCGGTTTTCCAAACTCAGTTCGCATCTGTACGCGTTCAATATGGAGAAACGACATTGGACACAACTACACTTTACATCGGGAAGTAGCGCGACAACACATGCATCATCTGGTAGACCTCATCATCATAAGCCGCAAGATTATCCTCTCGAAAGGGCATTCCACACGGCAACTATTGCTGGAAACTATCTCGTTGTTTTCGGAGGGTGTGTATCATTACATATTTGTGCTTTATTAGAAATACTCAATATTTATAATTTCGTATTAATAGAGTTAGGTAATTTCGTTGCTCTTATTGTTTGCACAATACCGGTATTGTGAAAGCATAACCTAGCGGCATAACTACAAAGCGCTCTCCTGTCTGACGATATGGTTATACTTTTTTTAAGCAGTAATTCAACAATTCCCATTCTGTCTTGACGTTATTATCCTAAATTAATTTCAGATATATGCATCGCCACAACGTTGAGGAAAAGTGTTATGACGATGAGGTATACCTGTACCACCTCAAGTGCTATAAATGGGTTAGCTACGACGTTCTCACATCGAACGGAAACGGACTCCCTAAAGAACGCCGACGACCGCACAATTCTGGCGTGTATTCACATGCCATGGCCCTGCGTCGAGGCAGCACCCTTCTCATTTTGGGCGGCTACAGCGGCTATATGCGAGGCGATCTTCGAGCTCTCCAATTGCCTGAGACGATCACTCATGTGACGTCAGAAACCGCGCCGGTTCTCTGTGGCCATCACAATTTTTCTGAGGCGGCGTGTAAGGAGAACCCCGCGTGCGGATGGTGTACAAATTTGTCAATGTGTATGGATCGCAATAAGAAGGCGGATTGCGGGGCCCAGTTCTCTATGGGCTTATGTCCATCACTCTGTCCGGCTCTGCAGGATTGCCAGAGCTGTATGGCTTGGGGGGAAGGACAGGAAATTACGAATCACGTAATGGTTGACGTCGGTGGGTTTATGCCGCGATCGTGCGGCTGGTGCGTCTCTAGCTCTCAGTGCCATTCTCTCAATGACCCGCCGCTGCTATGCCGCACATCTGAGAATAAGTCTGAAGGCGCAAGCGAAGGGTATTGGGGCAACCACGGCTATGTCGTCACCAATTTGCCAGAATGCCGTAGTCATAACTATAAACCGGGTCTGACGTACGTACAGTACAATCCACCGATCAATGACTCGTTGCCCGATGAGGTCAACATGATGAATAGCTCAGCAGCGCGGATCAACGTAAGCGGGGCCGTCAAAGGCAGCGGCGGTGGAGGCAAAAGTGGCGGTAACAGGAGTCCGGGTAAGGCTGTCATTCTGGGCTATCTTCATCCCACCGGGGTGGCGCTCGAGCCAGCTAGTAGTCCTAAGATTTACTTACGAAGCGGATTTAACGCGGAACTCTCACTGAGTTCGGACGATAAAGAAGCGAACCTAGAGTTAGTTGTTCGGCACACCGGTCACAACGTAAATTTGACGGAGGCCGTGCGGCCTTCGGGTAGCAAACTTATACCAATAACGGGCAAGGGCGCACGCTACCTGCTTAATGTTACCTACGAGCTCACGTGTGAAGTACGCCAGTCACGAGCCAACGCCTGTGAGCATTTCAGCGAGATCAAGTGGTGCCCCCAGCCCAAGCCATGCCAACAGCTATCGCTTATTCCTATAAAGTATCTCGAACCGTATAAAAACGGCACGGATTGCCGGCGGCGTGCTAGCTGTTATGCGTGTCTAATCGATTCAGCATGCGGCTGGTGCTCGTCGAAGCATGTGTGCGTAGCGAGATCCGGTGACGAAGAGGAGTGTCCCGCTGTCAAGGATGGGGAACTGCTCGTTCTTGAGACGCCTATGTGCAAAGCCTGCAACTACAATATCTACTGCGAGACGTGCCTTGACGATGAGAACTGCGAGTGGCTGCCCGAGGACGTAGCGTGTGTGCGTCGAGGAGTAAACCCTCTTGCGCTCAAAGACCGCTCGGCGTGCCCGGTGCCGTGCCACGAACGTAGAGGCTGCCAGTCCTGCCTAGGGGACCCAGGCCGCTGCGCGTGGTGTCAGCAAACGCAGCAATGCTTTCTGTTCTCAACCTATATCACTTCATTCATGTACGGAGGCTGTCGGGAGTGGGTTGACGAAGATCTGCCGCCAGTCGTCCGGAAGGGTAACACCCGCAGCGGACCTATTCAGTGTCCGGACTGCGGTCGACATGCTGATTGCAAGAGCTGCTTGAGCCAGTTAGGCTGCGGTTGGTGTGGGAATATCGATAATCCCAATATAGGAATGTGCTCGGCTGGCGACTTCTCTGGGCCGTATAATTCGACATGTACAGATATTGTCGCCGAAGCCAATGAGGTGGTTGATGAGGGCGGGCCCGCAGCTTGGTCCTATGACAAGTGTCCAAACGTAGACGAGTGCCGTTTAGGATTGGCAAGTTGTCATTACAACGCTACGTGTCGGGATACAAATGATTCTTATATATGTGTCTGTAACAAAGGCTACAAGGGAGACGGTAAAACAGAGTGTGTTAAAACATGCGCCGAAGACTGCAATCATGGTTTGTGTTCCGAAGCACCGGACTATAAATGCCTCTGCAAAATTGGTTGGACCGGAGAATTCTGTGAAGATGATTGCGGCTGCAATTTCCACTCGAAGTGTAGTCAGGGTCTAAACAAATGCGATGAATGTCGGCATCACACATCGGGACCACGGTGCGATCGCTGTGTGAAGGGAGCCTTTGGCAAGGCCACAAGACCTGAGGGATGTACCCCCTGTGAGTGCAACGGTCATGGCGATCCCGATAAGAACTTTTGCGATCCGATTTCCGGTGACTGCCATTGCATACATAACACGGAAGGTCGGCTATGCGAACGATGCACGCTTGGCTACTATGGCGACCCGAGGAAGAACGGCACTTGCTACAAGGACTGCACCGATCATAAGCCTTTCCTTACAGAGCAATTTGGCGCACTAGGCTCTCGCAAGGGATCAGCACTATTGCCTCAGCACTGCCTATGGATCGTGCAAGGTCAGCAACATAGCACTATACAGCTAACGATCGGAGCGACTCTACACATCAAGTGTCCAGCAAATCACGTTTACGTTTATGAGGGCCTCTTTAGTACCAACTCTCCGGGGCAATTGCTTGGTTCATTCTGTGGTACCCAACTCAATAAGCCGATCGTAATTGCTTCTAAAACTAACCAACTGTCAGTATACTATCGCCGCTCAAAAATGGGCGAAGGCTTTAACGCAACATATCGTCAAATGTGGTGTCCTGAAGGTTGCTTAGGCAAGAACAGAGTGTGTCAAGATGGCTTGTGCATCTGCCGCCCAGGTTTTAGCGGACCTACGTGCGAGGTACAACTCTGCCCGAAAGGGTGTTCAGCGAACTCACTCCTGTCACGGAAACATCTTGAACCGTCAGGAGGGTGCGATGGCGTAAGTGTCTAGATGTTACCTTATATTAGCCTTCACCGTTTACTAGGTTCGACAGGTAGTCAGGGCACTGTTGTACAAACATCTATTTTCGATTTTTGTTTAATTATAGTTGTAACAGATTATAATTACAAAAGAGCGACGTTCCTAATCAGGATAACCAGGTTTTTTTTGTGTATTGATGATAATATTTGTGGTTTTTCACATCGTGTACTTGACTTTGTATTTCTTCTTCCCTTAGGCATATTCGCTTTGTCGATGTAGTGGAAATCTGGGTGGCGATGCCTGCGACGTAAGTCTCGACACCAATGCAAGCGTCGTATGGACGTTACTCTACGACGTTGAACGTGTATTTTCGGCTGATACGCTCCCGTCGTTACAAGTGGCTGACTTCGCTACGGACAGTCCGCCTGACGTGCAGTTTGGTCACTCCCTACTTCTTAGTGAGCCAGATCGTCATCTATGGTTGTTCGGAGGCGTTTCACAAATGGACCAGGATAGCAATCGATTGTACATTTACGATCGCCATTTCAGTCGATGGAAGAAGGTTAACGTATCGCATGACGAGAGCAAAATGCCATCACCACGAAGACATCATTGCGCTACTATGGTCGGCATGGATATGTACGTTTATGGTGGAATGAATCGCCAGTTCTCTGCAATGGGTGACTTCTGGAAATTCGCCACAGAACTCCGCACGTGGACAACTATCTCGGTATGTTAACTTTGTTCCTAGAATCATTAAGTGAGCCTATGCAAAGATGCTTAAGTGCATAATACTCATGTTTTATATGTCTGTAAAGTGTCACGGCATATATATAAGGTTGGAGGAATCGATTTTCAAAATGAACATAAAACAAATTGAAATGAACCTTTCGTGCATTAGCCAAATGCTTATATAGGGTGAGAAGGAGCGCTGCAATATATATATACAAGTAGTTCTGTTTAAGACTTTCTATAAAAATGTGGTTCTATCGGGAATGCTGTTCCTGTTACACGAGATGCTTTATGATAAGATCTTAAGATAACTGTTACTCTCTATGTTCATTCTACGGCGTTCAAATTTTTTGGTAATAAAACAGTACGAATAATATGGAACATTCCTATTGGCTTTGCAGACAAGCCCCGATGTACCTCCGCTCGTTGGATGCACTTTGACTAATGTTCAAAATAAGCGTTTGTTAATGGTTGGGGGCTACTCTCCGGAGAATGGATTTCAAGATAAGACGCTGGTCTATACGATTCAAGATACAACGTTCAAGGTATTTAATACAACAGGCGCTTCGCCCGAAGGTATCTATGGGCATTCGGCAGAATATCACGCTCCAACAGACAGCATTTATATTTTTGGTGGAATTCTCTATGAAGCAGGTAAGAAGTTCATACATATTCATTTCCTTAGTTTGAATAGATTTTGCAAGAAATCCGCCGCGTGTGCTAAGTAGAATATAGTAGCGGATTCCTGTTTCACATAGCTGCACTTAGCCTTAGTGAGTGCTTTCTAATCAAACCTTCCAAGAAGCTCACTTGTCCCTATACCTCTTTTTTTTTAGACGGTCCTGCCCCATCATCCACTTTATTTGCGCTCCATGTAGGCACGCGTATATGGACGAGGATTCCTGGAGATGAACGGGTAGCTCCACATTCGCATTTGTCGCCTCGATACTTTCATTCATCTGCCCTGGTTGGTGATCTTATGTTAATTGTCGGAGGACGAAACCTTTCTACTGAAGCCACAGTCGAAAGTTACGTTTATAATATCAATTGCAACTCGTGGATGCAGCTTGAAGGCTATTGTAAGTATAGCCTTATTATTGGAAACTAATTTGTCGCTACGGTGGCTGGCTCGCATAGATGATAAATTGATTTCATTTTGATAAATGAGTATACAATAAATGCACACAATAGGTGCACTAAATTAGACCAAACAATATTTTTTATTATTGCCCAAGTGCGTTCAATTGCTTATCCGAATTGTCGTACGTGCAACTCTGTTTTTTTATGAAACAGATGTTCGAGTGGACGGGACGCCACCAACAGCATTCAGCAGCGCAAGCGCTGTTAATCTGAACGGGGAAATCTATCTCTACGGAGGATCAACTAGTCAACCACAGGGTTTCTTGTACAAAGTAAGCAGAGAAATGATGAATAAAATCGTATGAACATATTAGCTGAAGGCCGAAAACATCCGAAAATCAAAACTGTGATTTTTTTCTTTAATCAAATATGATCTATTATAGTTTTATCTCATACACATATAGGATAACCTCGTGAACTAATACAGTTATGATATACTACAGATGTGTACTTGTCATACGAGTAGAAAGCAGTGCCCGTTATTTTTCAATTTCTGGAATTTGCTGGTCTAATGCGTTTAAAAGGGTAAAAATCCAAAACTCAAGTTACCCGTTTTTCTCGAGTATACAATCCATATTCTTTTTTAAGCAATCCAAGTCAGTCAAAGCTTTCGAAAATGTATACAAAAGGGTAGTATCGGACCTAGACCTGCAGCTATTTTCTAAGTATAAGTCTTTTCTTCCCAGCTAGTAGCTTATATTTTAAAATCACTCGCCGAAGTTGACGTCAATGCTTATACTCCTGGGCCTATATTTTGAGGTCTACAAAGAAAGATATGCTAATGAATTTTGACGTTTCGTCTGGTTATTGTTTTCCAGATCGCAATTCCTGCTGACGTTTGCAAGCTATATTACAATGCGCGAATAGCCTGTCTTGACCACCCCGGATGTTCCTATTGCTACATAATGAATGCTACCAATACATATCCTCCACAAAAGAATGACCAGTTTTGTTTCAAAACCGGCGAAACCAATATGTAGGTTTTATTTCTTTTAAATTTGTATTCTAAAAATGCAGCAGCATATAACGTACTTCACTCAAACGCTGATACTATCATTTCCAGGTTAAATTGTTCTACGTGTATCTGCACTAAGATGTGATACTATATAATTTTCGTAAATGTATTCCATTAACTATGTATAGTTCTTTCTGTCTATTCTCTTTATAGTTGTACGGAGACGCCTAACTCGAGTATACAGCCTGGTAGATGGTGCAGTATCAGTTGGTTGCAGAATCGAACCTGTCACCAATTCGAGAACTGCGTCGACTGTGTGGCACGTTGGCCAGGCGATAAGGCTGGCCTACAGTCGGCTGTCTGTCAGTGGTGCCCAGACTGCCAGCGCGGAAGATGCATCCCATTGGGTGATTCCTGCCCAATACAGACAGCACCTGACTGCCATAATCAGCACGAATTGTCTCTTGTTACCCTACCAGAACAATGTCCCCAGCGAAGCTGTGTTGCTTCTGAATGTGAGAAATGCCGCGACCTTGGTAAATGTATGTGGACGAGGCAGGTGTTGCGAAGCGGGGAACTTCGTCACGTCGTCAGTCAGACACCCACCTATGATTGGACCTGTGTACGGAGGACGATCAAAGATCAGGTAAACCATCCGGTTGAATCGAATCCACCCAGAGCTTGTCCGAGAAGATGCGGTTCGTACAACAACTGCACTACGTGTCTTGATAGTAGCGGAGGTGAAGGGGGTTGGCATCAGTGCGTGTGGGCATCTGCTTTAGGCCAGTGCATTTCGCCGAGCTATGCCCCTATCCGATGCGAAGGAGGCATGTGTGGTCCGTTACTTCAGGGAGCCTCGCACATCTGTTCACCACCTTGCCACTATCACTTACAATCGAAACTTTGCCTCGCTGATCCTCGTTGTGGCTGGTGTGCGCTACTGGGTGCTAACGGTCAAGGATTGTGTATGGAAGGAGGAAAGAAGGGCCCTACAGGAGGTAGTTGTCAAAATGGAACTGTATTCCTTCATGGTCATCCGCTACCTGGTGATGTACCTAAGTGGCTGCAAACGCATGGTAGCAACGTCGGCTGGTACTACTTCAAAAGACCTATGGAAAACGAGTGTAGCAATGGACATCACGACTGTGACTCAGAAAGGGAGCAGTGTGTTGATAAAGAGAATGGTTATGAATGTATTTGTCAGAAGGGGTATACGCTTGACAAAGAAAAGATGTGCACACCGGAATGCAGCCAAGGATGCTTTCACGGACAATGCGTGCGACCTAATGACTGTAAATGTAATTTCGGTTACGTCGGCGCTAACTGCAGTATTCCATGTGATTGCAACGGTCACTCAGATTGTGCGGGTTCGGACAAACTATCGGAATGTATCGAATGTCGCAACAACACACAAGGTCCTCAATGCAGTGAATGTATGAGTGGATTTGTGGGCGATCCATCGAATGGAGCCAAATGTGTCTCGTGTTTCAACTACTGTCACAGGTAATAATGCAAAATGTTTAGCAATATTTTCTAGCGTTCCTATTTTGGCACGATAAGAATTTTTTATAAGATAGGAAGAAGTTTTTACGAAGAATTGATTAAACTCTACTAAATATGTAATACCTGTAAATAGCTATTGGCCAAGCCAGAACTGTGACTATCATTTTTTTTTTTCGTAAATCTCCACGATTACACAGTTCATTTATTATGTTTAATGATGCCCGTACCATTTGCATTTGAAGGCATTCGATGTACTGCGTCGATGAGAAGGTCTACAACGCTTCAGCTGACTACGAGAGCATGATCAAAATCGGCCTGAACCATCCGGGCCCGCTCGAGACGGCTGTGTGCCTTAACTGCAGCAACAATACGACAGGCAACACCTGTGATACCTGTAGGGACGGCTATTTTGTCCGTGACGGCGATATCCGGAACGGCTGTCGACCCTGTGAGTGCCATGGCCATGGTGATACATGTGATAAGCTGACGGGCGAAAGTTGCCAATGCCGAAACAATACCGAGACGGATCGTAGCTGCAACCCAAATTCGCGCACAAAGCATTCATCATGCTGGAGCCTGCAGTGCGCAAAGTGCAAGGATAACTTTCAAGGCATCCCGATTAATGGTCACCAATGCTATCGGCACATGCGTCTCGAGCAGGACTATTGCCTCGACCCTGAAAACCAAGGAGAATGCAATTCTGAACCCTTTCCTTTGCCACAGGGCCGGACCATGTTTTTTGTAGTTCAGCCACGATATATGAATGTCAACATACGGATCGTGGTCGATGTAGCCATCGGCGAAGTTGACCTTTACCTCGCAGCAAAAGAAGATACTTTTGTCGTGACATACAATAAATCTACCGGAATACACGAGGTCGCCGTTGACCCTCGCTATGACGTGATTCGTGAGGAATCGTTTAGACCTTCGCCAATCGCAGCACCAGGAAATATGTCATTTGCCACCATGAAGTTCATCAAACCCGCGACAGCTCACCATCGGCGAGAAACGCCTCGGGCCAATTCGGTGCATCGGGACACTCCCGGCTTCGCCAAATATCCCAACGCGCAGCTCGAAGTCACCGGTGGGACCCGGCAGATACTCCGACTCGTGAAGCGAGAGGCTCGTGGATTGACTACCTATGTCGAGGTGGAAAGGGCGCACCATTTTCTCGTTGTTAGCAGCTTACGCAACCGACTCGTACTCACCATTCCACAGGTACGCACTAGAGTTCTCATTTTGATGTAATATTCAGCCATTGATATTGAATAATGAGTAATAATCGCTTAATACAAGTAATCTACCCGTGTGTCAGACATACACTACATTTTCTTACTTTTATCAACTTTTTACATTAAATTCGTCATGTTTCGGCACCTTTACAGAACGTTTACGATCTACGGAGTACTCGACTCTATCTGGTGGTGAGCGGTGTGTCTGAAACCAGTGTCGGCAGTCTGTTCTTCCGACAGGATCAAACTCGAATTGACTTATTTGTTTTTTTTTCCGTGTTCTTCTCATGTTTTTTTCTATTTCTGTCAATGTGCGTCGTAATCTGGAAACTTAAACAGGGCATGGACCTGCGGCGCGCCAGACGCCTACAGGCCGCCGAGATGCAGCACATGGCTAATCGTCCATTCTCACACATATTTTCGACAATGTACCCGCTGGAAGACGGTGACGAATTGGGATTCGTTGAGCTGTCTCCGTTGTCGTCAAAATCAAAACGTAAAAGCAAGAGTCAGGTGCATTTGGTTCCAAATGCGCCAAAAGCTGCCCGAGCTTTCGAGAGCGGCAATTGTGCCCCTAGCATTAGTTTGCCGGGAGGCGTATATCGGCCCGTATCGGTTGAACCAACCGCTGATGGCCAAGCAGCTGTGACTACAATGCTTGTTCATCTGCCGGGCGGTACTGGAGCTCCGGTGCACCTCTGCATAGGAAGTGCTCTCACATCGATCCGAGGAACATTGAGTTCGAGATGTTGACGATGAATGTAATGATTTACACGGTATGAAAATAATTCTAGTAATAATGTTGGTAGCAATATTAAAAATAAATTCAGGTACATTAGCTATAATGAAACGACAGCCAAAGGCCCTATCGGCGACTAACGATCAGGCGCCTAGGCAAGAAAAGAGTGCTAAATTTAACAAATAATTAGTGAGAAAATATTAGGGAAAAATTGGTGCTGGTCCAATTTATCAGTGATACAAGCGACAGTCAAAATGATGCCGATCTGGTAGCAAAAATGAAGCCAGCATTGTTTCACATCTGTAACCACTTCAGGAGAATGCGAATATCTGCCTGTAGCTGAAAGAGAGTGGTACCCACGAGAAAAAAGTCATACGCCGTTAATTAGTACCGTTACTATCAGAAATGCATGGTTGATGATCCCAGACGGACTAATTTATATATGTATGTAATTAATAGTTCATAGAAAGTGCAAAGCCTGTGTATAGTTAGCAGTAAATCGAAGTGAATGGATCTAACAGCTTAGCAAAGATATGTGACACACAGATAAAGATGTCGCTACATTCTTATAAATAAGCCATATACAAAGAACGCACTGCTACGATCCAAAACAGTCTTAAACCATATAACAATATCGAGAAGTGGACGACATTAGAGGTACGTTGCTGAAAAAATCTTGTACACTAAGAAAAAAAAATGTTACCGGCAGACAAAGTGTGTTTCCACGATTACTCTGCTGGTGTATCGGTGAGAAATATTTGCAAGCATGTTGATGGAGCAGCGATGCTGAACGAAAAATACCAGTGGACACCATACCAATAGCTGTATAGATAAAATAATTGTCAAAAAATAATGGAAGAGTACATAGATGCATCGGAATATAGCAACAGAAACAAACTACTAGGAGAAGATTGAGTTGCCTCGCTGTCTTGTTTGCTACTCAAGGAATAGTAGGATAATTCCTATTCTTGCCTGGAATAAGGTAGATTCATTTCTGGTCAGGTTAATTCCTGGAGCCAAGTCTGGGCGGCACATGAATACAAATTACATATACATGCGACAGTAAATATTGCATAATAATTTACAACTGTAGCTTTGGATCTCATTATAATGTTTGTTTATTTTTTTACGAAAGAAACCCTCAAATGCATGCCAATGCTGTATCACGATTTTCTCCTATCAGCTCGGAATTTTTATTCCAGGCAATTTTATGGTTAGTTTTGTTCTTATTTATCTGCAAGAGGTAGCTCACAGCGAGTAGCTACGAGGGCCAACATGAACGCGGTCACAATTGGTAGCTCTAGCAGTAATAACAGTATTATTACTGTAGTGTGTGATTACAAAGTAGCCAACAAACAATTGTGATTTGTTCTATTTTGTAGCTTGCCATCATAATTGCCTAGTTGTGTTTATTAGTACGTGTAGTAGTGACGTATTATAGAAGCGAAATAATTAACAGCTCTGTTCCAGTAGAAAAACAGTAGCCGTAGATATGTGTATGTGTTTGTGCGGAATAGTATGTAAGCAACCACCATACGGTCACCATCGCAGCGGCAATAAACAACCATAATATGTATTTTAGAAATTCCCCTCATGAACGCAATACGCAACACCTATTCGGATAGACTGTTTCATTGACTGATTGACTCATAAAACTCTACAAAGAGTGCAGACTTCGACGACATGACGGTGGTCATTCACAAAGAAAGACACGAGAAACTGTATGAAATACGCACATATTTGTGCACAGGTTCGACGATAAAGATAACAGATCTACAGTTGGGCTATGGCAGCTTTACGATTGCAAATGCGGTATTCGTCGATGAATAAATAGGTAACTGTAAATTAGTACGCTTCGGCCCCATTCGTAGACCTACTTTTGGCTAATCTCAGACACTCTAAAAAAAAGGCTTAATTGCAAGATGAAACGAGAATATGTAAAAATGATATGGAATAACTTTAATTAATAGCATGTAGTGTCAAAACGTAAAATGAAAGAGACACAGGTTATAGATAGAGAGGCACTACGTCTTGCTTTTACAATGAGCTCATGCATACACATTCGCACACAACAACAATAACAAAGCGATGATTAGCAAGCAATTATAAAAAAGATAGATATATTACATATATACATACATACATATATATGTGTGTGTGTCTCTTGCTTTTTGAATAGAGCAAGCTGCTATAGATCAAAACCATGGCCAGAAGTCCGCTCAGGAAGTGTATCTCCAGTGACCACAATATCGAAATGAACTAACAACCACAACTGCATCCACACAACAACTACAACAATACATTTCTGTAATAGTATTTCACATGGCTGTGCGTGGCATGCCCTCTCTGTATAAAATGTACATAGTATAAATAACGAGAAAGAAAAAAAATTAAATATAATCAAATAAAGATATTTTAAAAATGAGTAGTTACCATGATTTTACTATTTGTAATATAGTGAGAGCAGAGATTTAGAAACATCTGTCTAGTGTAGCCTGGTCTATATAGATTAAAAGAAGTTACTCTTAGCATTATTAACGACGCTGCAAGTATCTTGTCCGAGTTTAAAAAATAAATCGGCAACTCCTCATTATTTACGTTTAAATATCATATCACGTATAAAAATCAAGCAGCAATAAGTAAGATAATTGCTTTTCAAGCGATCTCCAATAGTTTCGACCGGGTAAACTATGGTGGCCATGACGTATTTCTCCATTAGCAACACAAATGGCCTGCGAGTCCCTCGTGAGTTAGCGAATGCAGTTTGTTGTGTCGAGGCATGAGATACTCAATGCTGTCGCGTGTTAGTCGTTCGATGGCCTTTCCATACAGATGCGCTTCCGCTGTCCGACGCGTTCTGTCTGTCAAAGCAGTTGAACGATGTAATTACAGGAACACGTTTGTCACTTTGTTAAATAGTCAATGTTTTTAAGGCACCTTGCGCTGCTGCTATAAGGACTACTAGATTCGGTATGTCATAGGAACAAATGCATAATTCTACTTAAAAAAAAGTTGTTAATATTATCTGTAAAAGCACAGAGGCTTAGACGACATGTTTCCTTCTTTCATGGAATAGTTTTTTTCTTAGGCAACTAAAAAGTGCATTATGCACACTGGGTTCACATCCAGATCATTGCTTCGGTGGTTTTTAGACTTCAGTCACTAAAAATCGAGTCAAAGATATCAATAGCGAAACTGTAATAACTCATTTGTCCACCGTCATCAGGTCATCAGGAAATTACGAAAGCTATGGTTTAACCTTTACGCAGTCTTCTTTGGATACGACCTGGTGTGTTTCAACTTTAGAAGACATTGGCAGTAAGTAGAACTCTACTTACTGTAAGTCGAACGATATTGACTCGCGACATTAGCACAAGCAAATCGGGAGTGGACTGAAAATTTTAAAAATTAGGTTGAATAAGCTTCGTACAGGGATTACGCGAGGGGCCAACTGAGTGAACAAAGCTGTTCTAGATCCCCGGAAAAAGACAACCCATTTTCAAATGCCCACTTAAATAAAGTGGATAATTTCGAGCAAATTAATTGTAAGGCAAGTCACCATATTTACACTACCTATACGCGACTACATAGCACGCTTATAGGTGATGCCTAGTGGGGTGACGGAGTCGTTTTCGATTCTTAGATACATTATATTCGAAATTTTACGTCGTTAGAATAGTTAATCAGGCAGAAAACGATAACACGAAAGTCAAGTGAAATTCACTAGGAGCTGTTTTAGAGCGAGTTTCTTATTCTATTATAGACAATACGTGTTTCTTAGCAGTAACCTACCTAGAGGATCAAATTCACTAAGAAGAATATCGATTTAACACGTCATTACGCGCGTTTCAAGACGTATGCAAGAGAAACTTACGTTTTCCATTGTTGTTTCAAAAACTTAGGATGGACTTTACAAGTACCATGCGAGAAATAGATACAAGACACTTGGCAAAAACTGCTGCTGAATCCGTCATATGGTGCTTGTGTAAAAAAATATTCATAAAACCGAACATTTACCGGAAGCAGTTTGCACGGTCCTTCTAATTTAATATCTGCGAATTATCTGAATTAGACGCAATATTACTACGGCTTGCAATATATTCGTATCACAAAAATGATGTGAAAAGCCGCTTTGGCTTCAGTCAAGACGCGCACCCTGGGAAACAGTAAAATATCTTGGTAATTATTCAGTGGTTCTGAACTATTCCGAACAAGCAGAGTTGACGTCAGTACGCTACTGAGAACAGCCATAAAATTCAATCGTACCGTCACTGAAAAAATATCGGCACAGGAAGATCAAACATAGACAATATGCAAAGTAGACTAGCACATATGAACTCATTAGGAAGCAGTTACCTCTTCACAACTGGACGCCAACCACCGGGATACCCTGTATTCCTGCACACGGACAACATTACAGGTAATTTAATGCCATTTGCTATAAGTCAAATGTAGCTTTTAAATTGAGAGATAATTGTCATATTAGAAAAATTATATGAACTCGGCGTAAGAGGCGTAACAAACAGCTGAGACAGTTTCTTGCACTTATGGCAGGATTCCTAAATGCTGCTACTGTATCCCACCACATAATTATTAGTTCTTTTTTAGGTCCTTCGAAGCACATGCAATTCTAAACGTAAATTTAGTGACTGATGATGCATGTGTCATGTAGGCCTAGTTTAATTTGCTTACGCGACTACGTTACTTTGTGGGAACACTCTGTGCAGGGGAAACTGAAAAAAGACTTCAGTTCAAGTCCAAATTGCTTTAATGCGATCTCCACGGCTAAGCGAGAAGAAGCTAAAGCAATTACAAAGAAAACTAAGATACACCACACGCTCGGGTCAAGGCACCCGTACAGCTGAAACCTGTCCACCTGCTTTTGAGAAATCCACGTTACCAATAAGCACCTCTCTATAAGGACTACCATAGGGTCTCCATCGATCCATTTATCCACCTCCGCGACAACAGGGCTGACGAAGACCAACGCGACCTGTAACATATTAGAATCTTTACTGACGAACAGTTTGTTGCCTCAGCATCATTATAAGCACTCGATTCTAGAGTTGTTTGCAGACGCTGTTCTGGAATTGGCCGGATCCGCCATGACACCTGCTAATCTAAGTCTTTGAATAATTTTTCCTTATTGCGAAGACCTAGCAAAGGTACTCCCACTTCTATTTATGGATTTATTGGGACCGAAGTCTATTTGAGCTCACTTGTAATGAAAGACGACTGAAAATAGTTACAATACATTTTTCAGGCACATAAGAGCCATTGGCGGTTTAAACCTCCGCTATGCTACGATGTATTTGTAAACACAAAAAAGCGGACTTCCACTCATTTACTAGGTACATCAAATAAGGAAGTGCACACAAATTGTATGTTATTGTAATCAGTAGTTACTTACCGATAACTAAAGGTAGTGGAAGGCAATGGCGATTTGGAATTCTCCATCAGTGTACCGATTACGTAAGAAAGATTTTTTGGGCTCACCCCACTGCGAGCATAAAGCGTTTGATATTAGTTATTGTGGGAAACGCATATGGTAGTGATGTAGTATAAAGACCCTACACAATCAACCTAATATAACGAGTAGACCAAAACGTCTTTACTAGTTATTCTACCAGAATGATTTCGAATGTCACTTCGGAGCCTGGTCAAAAGTCAGAACTTAAGAAAGATGCTACCATACCAGTGCTGTGAGACCGTAATCACGACACTCCTATAATGTTAAGAACCTCTATTATTTTGCACGATAATGATTATTGTATAGCTAGCAGTTTTTCTGCAGGATTTGACAAAAGAGATTTCTTTGCGCAATCTTTTTTCACAATGCGAGCAGAAAATACTTTATTCATCTTTATTTCGTGCTTACCGAAGTCTGTCCACTTTAGCTGTGTTTAGAATCATATGACACTGGGCTTTATAGGCTGCAGGTCCTGTCTTTGTGGCGTGTCATACGGCCATAGGGCTCGACCTGCAGTACACCATAGTTTAGTAGCTAAATTGGTATAACTGGTAGCTAAAAAAGCTTCAATAGTTAAGTGTGACATTTGAAGAAAGATTTTTATTGAACATTAACATGAATTTAGAGTAGCTATCTAGATCTCTTCTAGTAGATTACATGGGTGACGTTAGTTTAGCGCTAAAGAAAAGTTATTTATTAGTAGCAAAGTTTAACGTTTCGATGTTCCTCGTCGTTTAAAATTTGATCAACCTATACCAAAATTAGTTTTTCCTTTTTTATATATTATAAGTTGTTTAGTTCGTACGAGATGGCGGTGCTCTCTAATTTTCGTCAAAGTCACCACGTGACCATAGGGAACACTATCATAGGCAAATAAGTTTAAACAGCGATTTTCAAAAATAACTGTACAATCTCCGTAAAATTATTTCTAAATGCACGTTTTACTAACCATTTACGTTTACAAAATCTATCCAACCTTACAAGATAGGCTTGGAAACCTTATATTAATAATAATCGACAGATACCCATTATAGACAGTTAGCGAATCGTAGATTGGTACGAAGCTTCGTTTCAGAAAATGGCTAATAGTGAAGATTCGTATCCTCAGAGAAACAAAGACGTGTTCGTTACTTCACTCCGTAGCGAATCACAAGTTTACCCTTCACACGGATACTTTGGCCGTGTGGTTTAAAGAAGAAAAAGCAATATGGCAAACATTTGGAAAGACTGATCGCATGCCCTCGACCTTATAATTTTGATGCTCTTTACTACCTACCTTCGCGGAGAAAACCAAGACCTCAAGCACAATATAACCGAAAACGATCAAAGAAGCTATGAGCGCATTCTCAAAAATTAAGAATCGTATGCACAACTAACTGCTCGTCGTATCACTCACACGTTTCTTCAAATCGAAGGAATAAGCTGAGGCGCGACGAAGTTCATGACATCTAGCATTATGTTGGACCTGACAAAGGTCTATTATGGTCGCATTCCTAATGGGCGCAAGATGTCTGTGGTATTGATTTAATCATTCAGAAGGTTCACGCGTTTATACATATTACATAAAGAAGAATTCTCATTACCTGTACAATAGAGCCATATTCTAGCGTCATCAAGACTTAGAGAATCATACGCTTGCATCCTAATCTGACCGCCAGATTTTGAATAATTTTCTAATTTGAACAAGGGTAAATTCGGTAGGTATGGTCAGTACAGTTGAGGAGATTGTTAAGTTATTAGTTACCTTTTTTCAAAGTTCTGAATAGATGGCTCAAGATAGGAACATTAAGTGACAACATGCATGCATACATGTAATCACCTCTACCCTTAATGTAACGAAGAACTAAGGCTTAATCAACATAGGCAAAGCAATAGTCAAATGAAACACTTTCAACCTATTGGAGCAAAAGTGAAGTCTACTTCTAACCGGCTCCAGCGTACAATGCATGAATGTATCGTTTCATAATGCACAACATTACTCCTGAAGGCAGAGATGGTAAATATTTGCAAGTGTTCATCTGGGAAGTGCATTGTCTATACAATATCTACTATTGGCCAGTTTCGGCAATGAGTAAATTAAGAGAATACAGTGCTTTCAACTTATCACAATCTCAGGACATACCGGGGCAACTTTGATCATTTGATGGATAAATAAATGGCGTTGGCGTCGCCTTTTCAAAGAAATAAGGGCAATTGTCGTTAGCTAGGTCGGTGGCGACTCCAAAGATGACTTCAAAAACGATGAAGGCAAGTACACATTGAACAGAAAGCTAAAACGTTAATTTTTCGCTCTATCAAGAGTCATTTCAATCGACAATAGTTAGGTGTTTGTTTTTTCAAATTCAATTTTTCTTCAAAAGTTTACATATACATTGATAGATATTAAGATTTATTCCGTAAAATTTCATTACATTTATATAAGTATTAAGCAACATTAGCAATCATGTTCAGTCAATAGAATACCATTACATCGTACCAATAAAAACGTGAAAATAATAATTTCCATTACGTTTTTTTGTTATATCACTATTATTAGAAACCGCATTTTTATCGACAGCAGCTGTTTAATTGTTTAATGATACCAACTTGTATTCAGTGAATCATGTAATTCAGAGTAGTCATCCATATATATATATATATATATATATCATTTTAAAGTATTAAGTCGCGAGATGTTTGCCTTCGCTAGCGCTCGGCATAAGACACGGCCAGATCGCGAGGAGCAACAGGATCTATGCAAGTCTTTCGCCCATGCCACTTCAATGAGCAAGGACAAAAGGCTCGACACACCACCGATCGCCAAAACCATAAAGGACCCTTCCAATTGGTTAAAGGTCATTGGCTTTAATTCATTATCAGAACGACTCAAGCATGCGCTCGAATCACGACGCGTCCATTCTAGAGCTTTTGTGAGGAAGCCACCTTCGTGGGTTGCTCGAAACCTGCGAAACATGACAATAATGAGATCGTTATGCCGCATGCATTGCGTGTATCTATTCTATGTATTAAATGGTCTTCAAATATAAAAAAAAAAGGCTAATATTTTTTGTGAGGATTACATGTACTAGTTGTGCATGCTAAAACGACGCCGTGAAGTACGATAGCAAAACCTAATTCATCTAATAAATTTAGATTAATTTGAAGGCACTCAATGGAAAAAATGAGCTCAACATAGGGATCGAATCACGGCCTTTCAACTGCTGTTATAGCTAGTATGCCAGCTCTAAACGCTTTTTTTCATGTTAGGTACGCGGCACACCGCAAGCCGGGCCTTTCATTGGGCCCGTTGTCGGGACAACAGCACCCTAAAACCGCTTGCACGACCATCTGTGTCTGGACCATACGAAAAAGTAATAAACAAAATCTCGATTGGTCACTGATTTTGTTTCATTAGTGAGAAACAAAGGGTGATCACGTCGTGTATCTCGAAGTGGGATGACGTATGGTTATCTTTTTCCTAGCCAAACTTTAGTAGTAGCTATATCGTATGGTAAAAGAGCATAACAAACATCTACTCTCTCAGACGCACATACCCCTTCCGTAATTTCCGTCTAGTCCGGTCAGGAATTTTTCGGCTGAGAAATACGTTAGCTAGAAGTAAACCGGCTTGTTCGCGTGCTACTTGTAGATGCGGACAGCGATGCCATTTTCTATGCGCCGTTACAATTAAATTGTGCGCCATATCGACGTTTACCACAATCACGCCCCTTTGTTGCTCCACAGCGCTAAATGATCAGTATAGATTGCAGTTTCCAGAAGTGGTGTAAATTTCAATTAAACAACTCTTTCCATCCAATCCATCGCCAGATTTGTCAACTAGCAATGTTTCTTTACGTGCTCGAAGGAAATCAGCTGTACATTTACTACACAGATTGTAGAAGCGATACAAATTTATGTGATGCTATAGCTTTAAGTATACGACACTTTTAAAAGAAGCTCACTTAATGAGGCGATAAAATCCACAGTGGTAATCGAATGATTCGTATTGTGGGTTCGGATATTATGCTACGTCATTGCTCACCTTAGTAACTTGTATGTATTAGGCGTTTGGATGAATATACCTTCAACAGGCGCCACGCGCGGTTTTAACCGCTGAAAAAGTTCCGAACGCGCCTCCTAACGAAACAGAAGAAGAGTGCTGTATCTATAAGCTTCACCATTTCGCAGCTAAAATATTTAAGCTTTTTAACTAATTACAATTTAATTAACAAAAAAAAAAAAACAGACAAGACGCACATCGAGTTTGGCTGTGTATTAAGCCATGCTGCTTATCATCCTGGGATTACTTTCTATCTACAACAATTTTATCTATGCGACTTGGTATTAATTTTGAAAAAATCAAAGCCAAACAATGTTCCTACCGAAAGCATGGTATGAAGCACCGTGTTTTTTTCAGTATAGATTTTGACATTTTTAAAGAGAAGAATATCTTCGTAACTGTTGACGGTAGGCGTGGTCTTCGTGATGAGCATCGTTGATGTGAGCTCACTATTCAATATCGTCATGAACAATACGGATAGGGGTAGCACGAAGCTCGCCATAATTATTCGAATCCACGTATCCCGACGTCGCATTTGCCCTAAAAATAAATAACTCATCAACCATGCAGTCGGTTTTAAGAAACCGCTTCGATGCGATGCGATGGTTGCGCCTCTCATATCACTGATAAATTTCTGAATCTATCGTCGTGCCTCTACGGTGGGACAGGTTGTGAATATATCAGAAAGCGGTGTATTCGAGCATTTAATACATATATCTCGTACCTCGAGGAAAGAGTCGGCTGAAGAAGTCCCACAAGTAGAAACCAAACCCATAATTTTGTGAAGGACTTTTCCATGGAGTGAGAAATCGGTCAGCGAAAGCTGATAGTGCAGCTAAAAAGACTAATGTGATACCGAATACAAGCCAGACGCCCGATGTAAAGGCAAGAACGAAAGCAAACGGATTTATCAGGTTCTGGGGTTTCCAGGTGAGCAGCGTGAAAAAAGTTACGAGGATTTCCATTGGGTCGGCTACGGCGAATCGTTCCAGCTCTGCTATCCCAGGATTGGCGTAAGCTATAGCTCCCTATAACGATGCAAAAACGCACTTTACCAGTATTTCACATTATCTGGTATTTTATTGGTACTTATAGCTTGTTGAAATCATTTTTGATTTGTTGACAACAGTTTTTGCCTGCGGTTAATTATTGGCGATGTATTATTATACTATTAGTCGCTTTCCGTTAGACGTATTAAAATATGCGGATCCATAAAAGTCATTGAGGCCAAGTTGGCTAACGTACCGCGTTTTCGAGAAGCCCAAAAGCGCTCTCCGGGGGAAACGAACCATTTCCAATGGATTTGCCAGCTCCAACATTCTTCTCGTTCACGAGACTCACTCTAAAATACATACTCTCTTTATTACCGGATCACATCTCTTCTTACCGATTCAGGAGATTTTCATCACGATACAATACCATACAAGTAGACCTTCAGAAAGATTATGTATTTTTAGGTGGATACGACACGTCGGTCTTTTGTCCAACGACATTTTTTTTCTCTGCGAAACGATCAATTTACATGTATATTGACTTGCAAGATACGCAAAAACTAAAATCTTTTATTTACTCTTCCGAGTTACATATTTTCGCAGATATTTTCTAACGGTCCCGTAATTTCTGCGTCTATTGTTATCCCCCCTGGGGCGGGTGATGAAGCTGAGTAGAAGCAGTTCCTGTTTAAATGTTTTGCAAAATTTCGCTACATACAAATAAAATGCAGAATGGGTTTATTAGAAAAGTTCTTACTTGAGTCTGGCATACTGTGCTCCGTTGAAAATTAACTCAGTGGAGATTCCCCAAATATCAGCTGTTCCTTTTTCAGCAAAGCGTTCTACATAACAGAACGGCATGAACTAGATCCATTGAAGAAGTGAATAGAAAAAAAACAAGGTCAAAGCATTATTAATGAAATTTTAGTAATTATTATTCTATTTAACGAATTTTAGCTAGCGTACAAACGTTTTGACAGTTTAACCTAGTGCAATGTATCAAATTAGATACGTAATTTGTTATTTAATTGAACTTCACATAGTAGAGCAAGATAAAGATGACTGTATCCGAAAAAATTACCGATCCACAATTCCTAATGGGACAGCATCTTCATCTAACAGTGTGCTCATAGAAAGGTATCATAAGTTACCAGACAGATACAGTACAAATACTTCCTCTACAGCATCTTCAAACAGTTTCTAGTAATACTTCATATTCGGCTGTAGCTTGATTGAACTTTTCAATCAAGTTGAATGATGCAATTACATCTCTTTTCAGTAATAGATGTCGCTACGTTAACACCGTGCTTTTTTCCCGTCCAGCTCAAAACAGTGTTTACCGTTCTGTAACGCCTGTATAAAACTAAACAACAGCAAAATATATTTAAATAATTGCCTTGGTACTTGCTTTCACAAATCTATTGGTCATCATTGAATTTAAGTTGCGCATGTACCGTGACGGCAATACGTCTTGAGCTCAGTAAGGCCATATTCGCCTTTAGCTATGTGACCCGACCTATGCGCACCTTCAAGAACTATGCAATTTTAAATACCCGTTGAATAACGTACTTCGTCAACCACGGTGGGTAAGTGTCCTTCGCTAAGCGTTAATGATGTGTTACATGGAACGCGATGTTTCGGAATGAAGTAGCTCATCCTGACGTTTTTCTTGAGGCAGAAGATCGTAAAACTTTACGTAAAACGTACACGGTCACTGTCAGCTTCACGAATTGTTGATCAAGGTTGATGACGTTGCCAGAGCTGCGGTTCAGGATGCTTCAAATACGATCTGGTAGTTTTGAAGCTCGCATTGTTAATAATTGAAGGACGGTGCTTGCATGACAACATCTGTTATATGTAGCTACCACTCTCGAGATGAACGGAGATAGGTAAATCAGATGATGATGACGACAAAACTACCGTGTCGCTCCGCAGATTCACTTACGATTAAAGCCATTTGATAAATGAAGCACTTCATTTGATTGAAATATGGCTGAGTAGGCTTGTTCATAGATGGCCATTTTGATTGTTGACATTAGAAACGTAGCCATTTTGCTGAATAAACATACCGGATAGAGAAGCTGCTAAAGTAAGCTAACAATTTCATTAATTACATTTTAGCATTAAGCTAATGATACCGAACAAGCTCGCTTGTATCACCCAGTAACAAATGATATAAGTTAAATTAGATTGAAAAACTACTTATTACTATAAACTATTGTAACTTTACATCTAAAGAGACAGAGATTGTTCGTGTTTAGACCATTGTTATCCGTTTTGTAGCGTTTTCGTCCAGTTTAGCGCTCGTACTATCTGTAGTTGGGATGAAAGTGGGGTTCACTGATCGTACGACTCGAATACGACCATTTAACAAAACGTCTCAGTTCTAGATCATTGCTAGGAAATGTGTAAATGATTGTTTGTTTCCGAGCGGTCTGAAAGAAGCAAGGTACTTGCATTGTAATTAACTGATATAAATGTTTATATCATGTATATTATATGTATACGCCCCTTATATGATTCGAGATTATATAACTTTTGCCACATACCTCACAGAAGGGCCCTTAACATCTGAAGTGATTGTCCAGGCGCAAGTAAAGCGCTTTCACTATTGTATTTTCATTGCGGACTACGATCAGACTAAGTTCAAGGTAGACTAATATCTATAAGTTATTGATCTGGTAGCATGAGTCTCGTTTGGCTCAGCGATTATAGTGCTCGACTTTGATGCGTAAACTATCATTCAGCTTCGGGTTGAAAATCGGCGGAACCGCATGAAATACTAATTTCAGTGTATGACTTACATTTGCCTATGTCTGATTTTGATGCTATATATGTCAGTGGAGGCGTTTGTCCCTGTTAAGTTGCCGGTTTGTGTTTTCAGTCGATTCAGGAAACATTGCCGACTCTGTTTCGCTCCCGTTTACCATTAAATATCTAGCTCTTGTTACTTGTCGTGTCTGTTATTTTACTTTCGTTGTTGTTTTCGCTGTTCTGGTTGATGTGATTGTTGTCATTCTGGGTTACTCCACCGCCAGCTAGTTTCAAGTCGGTGCTGCCTTGCCTCCCAGCCCCATGGAGACAAAGCTTTGGCAAATGGCAGTTTAGCAAGCGTTGGTCCGTTCTTACCGCACGAGTCTCTCTTCTCCCTTTCCAAAAACGTCAAACAGCAGTCGTCCTCTTGCAGAAGGCCTGTGCCGCCTGTGACGGCGGACCGGTCCACTGCCACCGCGAGAAGCAGCAACGCGTGTCACGTCGCCTGTGTCAGTCATAACTGGCAGTGGGGTATCAGTTTCAGTGGTCTTGCCCTTGTGTCCGTGGTGCGCGGAAGGACTGAACAACATCAGCTGCACTGAAACTCCGTCATCATCCGCGGCGTTCGACAGCGGCGTAGTACGGCTGACTCGAAATAAGAACACGAGCTAGATTGTGACAATTAACGTTATCCAAATCGTCTATACTAAATCAGCACCTGAAAACGAGTAATGTAGAAACCCTAAAACGAGTAACGGCAGAGATATTGAAATCATATAGATGAGAAGAGTCCGAAACAAATGAGAGCGAACAGCAACTCTGAGGCTCGTATTTTTGTTCTGTAAACGGTAAACGTTTAGTAAAAAGTTTCCAGTCGAACTAGCGTCACGAATATCGCTGAACTTGAACGGAAATTCTAGCTCGGACAAGACGCATGAACGTATGTGGTCATATGCGGCCGTATGTGAAGGATAAAGACGCCGTTCGTATACGAACTTGTAGTTGGGTGTAAGGTATCTAGGGTAGTCGCGGCTGAGAGACCGAACGTTGACAACAACGAATCCGAAAATGTTCCGAAAGAAGCCCTGCAAGTACAGGTTAGAATCACTCTTTGTTCTATTCATTCAGTCTCTATTACATCAACGGTGTTAGTGCAGTTGTTGAATTTAGTGAAACACTGAATGTTGGATGTGCTTGAGGTCTAGTTCTCAGGTTTTTTTCCGCATTCTGGGAGGTGCCATAGCCAATGTACGCATCTACTCTGCTTGCGAACGAGAAATCAAACATTCAAGTATAGCGATGTGCAAAATATGATGACAGGGCGTAAAGGCCTTATAAGTGCTTTTGTTCATCTCCGAAATGAGAAAACGGGCCTTAAATTTGCGCCTGCATTTACGCTTGCGTCCTAATTCAACGAATGGTTTGCCAGCAGACAGAGCACTATGTATATATTTAGGTAGCATCCAGATCTGAGGTTTTTGGCTCATAAGTATGGAAAGGATTGCTTGACGACCTAAGTCTAGAAACCATTCAACGATCAAAAATTATTTATGGTATAAAATTAGATACAGATACAATCATTATACTCATATCTTCAAACAAAAATTACATATATTTCCAGCAGGTGGTAAAATAGATGTAAGCATATGTCTTTGTAAAAATGCAGAAACATAGCTTTTGCGATTTCCGTGTAACTTTGTCCATTGCTGTCTCTACAGTATCGTGAATCAGTATTTCCATGCATTTTAATGGGGTGTTGCAATCTTATTAAAAAGCAGACATCAGTTTTGCATTTGGACAGTGTTTGCAGAAGATTTCCAAATATAGATTTTTATGCTACGACTGTAGGTAGCAGTGGGCGCGGCCAACCCTAAAAAGCTTTCAAATACATTACTGAATTTAACTCACAATCTAACCTAGCGGTAGAGACCTTCAACAAATGCCCCCAGTGTGAATGATGATCATAACAGCTTCCCGTTTTCTGCGAAACGGATAAGCACGCAGTTTTTTGCACTGTCATTACATAATTAAGTGAACCCATTCAATTCTGCTTTTCAACTATCGCTGAGAACACATACATTTGTCCAAGGGAAAAATAAGGTTTGCATTATGTTTCCTTTTTCGCATAGAATTTTTATTTAACTGAATTTACCGCCGACCTTTAAACTGCGCAATAAACGTGGTAAAAACATTTTAACGCAAAAAAAGTTGTTTAGCAATCACTGGAAGTTTCTTAGAACAAATTATCCGCTTTTCGTCCCCTTCAGGGTCAGATAGGACCAGTTTAAGTTTCGTTCCAATTTGACTAGTGAGCAGTATTTTTGTTAGTCATGCGGCCGTTACAATGACACTGGGTACCTACAGCGAAACGGGGGTAAGCAGCTGATACACAGTCTGAAGACTGTGCACTGAAACGATTGTTGGTAACGTGAAGAACCGTGCTGAGTCTTCTTAGTCAAAATATCCCTTTGCTAGCTTTGACGGACCGAGACCAGGCCCAACACAATGTTGGCACAGATGAGGCGCATTATCAGTGATGCTTCCTAGTCTATTTATAAGCTCTAGGCGTTTATCTAATTAATCACATGCATCGCAGACTCAGCCATGTGGATCAGAGTGACAGAAGAAACGCGCGAGCCGTTTTTGCCTAATAGGTTCTATGACAGTACATAAGTCGCTTTAGATGAAGCCTAACCTAGCCGCAGAACGAGAGAGCAAACGATGCACAGATGGAGCGAGCAATTCTATTATATTTCATCAAGAGGTCTCTTTGAATGGGTTGAACGCGTACGCAGTAGAAATAGTAATCAAGGGATAAACATCGTATACTTTATGAATGCAAGGCAAATGGAAATTTATCATGTGATGCAGATAATGATCAGACAGGCAGGCAGGCAGGCAGGCAGACAGACAGCGTTACGCTAACAGCTTTCCATCGTTTACTATTCACTCCTGATTACTACTGTTATCTTTGCCTATATTGAGAGGCTTGCAAAAATCTAGCTTTCAGAACAGAGGCGAGAACGCTGTCGTAAAGGCAATCGCTTCAGAAACAGCGATAGCCTCGGCCAACAGTAACCCGAACGGTAACAGTGACTCGGTCAGCACAGCAACAAACTTCGAACGAAACAATTCCCAGCGGGAACTTTTCGTACCCCCATGATGATATGCTACTCCACCCCACAATAATTTTCTCTCTCTCCTAGTAATCATTCTGTCTTACATCGTTTACTCGCCTGCCGAATGGACCGCAGACGTCATTGTCATCGTAAATGCTGTGGTCGAATTGGATGATTGTTTCGCGTCCGCGACTGTTTCGAAGCCGGGGGACCTGCGGACAGACATAAGCTGCCAGAAAGAGCCACGACAGCCGGACTGCACAACAGCGGCAAGTTAAACCAGAAAACGTTACCTCTGTCTGCGTCTGTCTCTGGCGCCCGACTGGTTCGTCGATAGCCAGTCGACTCCCTCCACACCAACGAGTCAATGGTACAAATACTTCACTCGTCTCAGGGTAAGCGATTTTAACGATAACCGCGACGACGACAGTAGTAGCAGCAGCAGCAGTAGCAGCGAGCCACAAGTATCCGCAGTATTTTTTTAGATGGTGCCACTGTCTTTGTTATTGATTGGCAAATGATCGCAGCACGACGTTCCATTACATCGTAAATTCGGCTGCAAATACATTACGGTGCAAATAGGAATGCTACAACTACACGTGCCTAGTAGGGCATGTATGCGTGGGTAAATAGCCTTTAACGAACAATGGCCGTGGGCAAATATCCATAAAGTAAATTTTTGTCCCGATCAAGGCTGTTTCAACGCAGCTTTTGTAGACGCACCATAGTCATTGATAAGATTCCCCATAATGGAATAATAACGCTGATGTTTGTCGGAGCACTTTCGGATAGAGAACGTTTCTAATTGACGTTTGTTTGTGTGCATGAGAAAATAGCTTTGTACTGATCCCTTTTTTTTTTTTTTGCAAAGCAAACAACGAAACAAACTCTTCGATAACACTAGTTGTCGCTTAAAAATGTCCACTAGATACAAGTCCGGATATAAAACAATCAAGCTGATAAGAGGTGACTATTTAAGTAGGAATTTGCTTCACTCGTATTACCATTAAGATTAGTTACATAATTATACATCTTGCATTGCCACTGACATAATCTTATATTCTGTATGATTGATTGCTGAAATACTGCATCACAATATATGTAGCTTGTTTCAACATAAGCATTTTCGCTGATCGATCGATCGATCGATTGATTGCTGATTGAGAAATGCGTAGGCGCACTATGATCGTACAATAAACCCGGGGTTATAGGTTTATCGACGTCTCAAGACGTCGTGCCTAGATTTGGTTGGCATTATAGATACGCCTATTTGAATTTCTCCTGAATACAGCACGACTGATCCTGTTTAAACGATTTCGACCTTTTTAACCGTGTGGAAGGGCGCCTGTTACAGGCCTTAAATCGTCAACGAAGGGGTTGTATCTATTTTCGAGTGTTGTCGAAATGACCAACTTTTCTTTTTAAGGTACCCATGCTCTGATTTAGAATAATTGAAGCTGTAACCTTAATTAGTGGTCTCAAATACTACTCGAACATATGCCAACTCACCCTAACGACAATACATCCCGAATATAATACGTGTAGGGAAGCGGCGCAGAGAACAGCCGTCCTATAAACCGCGAAACTGAGTGCTAATTGGGTAGCCCATTTCGTCTTCTTCGCTGCTAGCGAGCAGTACTTAGAATATGATATTTGCGACCCTATACGTGATTCTATAACAGTCCGAATTAAGTTAACTGTTTAAATGCATTTCCGACTGAAGAACGTTTTTGAAACATTCTATGCGACTAGTAACTTGGTGGGTGTTATTATCCTGCCCCACGAAAAGCTCACGCAGATTTCATCTGGCTAACCTATGCGGCCATCCTTTACGCAACAGATACTCGCAGATATTTCTCCGGGTGTGACGACACGATACTGTTTGACGCTCTGTCGTGTCTAGACATATATGCATACGAAAACGAACTATATTGTTCGTTCTCACCCATACAAGAACTACGTTCCCAGTTAGATAGAACTTGTTGTCGAGACGCGACTTGCAAACGAACTACGATCCTACAAGCGACGCGACGCCGCTCGTATGCTTCACAGAAAGCACACGGCCCTATGATAAGCCTTGCAGACTACTACAACATCACACACAAGTTATACTAGTTTATATATATATATATAAACTTTCAATGCCGCTCTGCCAAATCTGGGATTGCGTTACGGCCGTTCTTTTAGCGATGGCGACAGCTACAGCGACACCAAGAGCAATACATTGTTTCGCTGCCTGCCACTGCCGCCGCTCCTGCCTCCCCAAACAATAACCATGAGAACGACGGCTTAGCCAGGCAATTACCCGGGGGATGGACGGACGGACGGACGGACGGACGGACGGACGGACCGATCGACCAAACGACCGGGCCTACTTCAGCTGGACCGTCAGCGATCGTCTCTCTGCTTGTGGTTACAGCGGGAGCGCCTGGCAGCGTTACTGAACTAGATTTTCTGGCGGATGGAAAGTGGCTCCAGTCGGCAGAGCAGCAACGACGTCGAGGTTCGACCGCGTTGGACAGTAGGTGCTCGTCAGTGTCCATTTATTAGTGGATTCAGTGACAGCCACCGATACAGACTGGACGCGCCAGAGTTGGTTAAATGAGTCGCGGACATGGATGCCAGTGGCAGGATTGTACAATTCTGTTTTTTGCTACTTCCATCAGTAACACGCTTGCACTGATGCAGGATCAGGGCCAGCGGGAGCAGCATGTGAAATGCTTGTTTCTGAATATGCCGTCGTTAGAAAATGCGTTCCTAATTACATTAATACGGTGCCGTTTCCATGGCATCAGTGAACTGAGCTCGTTGGAACTAGCGTGTCGTCCAATTTGTGAGGACTCCTCACCACGCTACAGCAAGGCCATCGGCTTCTACACAGGATCATCAACATTTTTTTTTTAAAATAACGAAAGCCAAAAGTCACCAGGCGACAGAAATAGGGAGAGATGTAACTAAAAAAAACTGCGTCTGATTGC